CCTATTGGGCCATGGCGCCTTCCCAGCAGCCCCCGCGCCGGCGCGCTCACGCCCCGCCCCGGAAGTGAGCTCGCCGTTGCTGTGGGGAGGCACCGGCCGGCTGCTCTTACGGGCAGCGGCTCTGCGACTTTTTTTACTATTAAAATAATAACGTGACAACTTGGTGAGGTTTTTTTTTATTAATAACAAATTTCACACAGTGAAAAGCATTAAGGTGCTTCATAGCCTCACCCAAGGAAGAGGAGAGAAGAGGCAGCAGCAGCAATGAAGAGTAAAGCGCAGGCAAGCTGCAGCTACACATTAAATGCTCTTTATAGTGGGCGGGAAGGTAAAAAAAGTTTTCATTTCGGTATTCAATTGAAAATCCCTGTTCTAGTGTCTGCTTTGGATTTCTTGGTCTGGGTTGGAGGTAGAACTGTCACTGCTGAGGGTCCAAACCACGCCGGCACCTTCCTCTTACAAGAGGTATGTGAGCTCTGGAAGAAGAAAACAAACGTGGAAAAGGGTAAGCATTTACAGGCTAATTTACACAGCTCTGCTCCCCGAAGTCATGCTCAACAGGAGACACGAACCATCTACATTATTAGTGGAAGGCTTATGTCTCCCTTAAATGCAGCACCTTGTTCAAGTAATTGAGGGACTAAGAATCAAGCTATAGCAGTGGGAAGAACCAAGACTGGTAATCATCTGACCAGAAACAACAATGCATGCTGACACACCTCTGAATGTTATGCTGACCTTCAGGAATCACCTTTAAAACAAACACAAACAAAAACACACAAACAAAACCACCCACCCTCAGCTCTCAAGACAACAAATAAAAGAACTGCAGCTCCTCGGTGTGACCTGTGAAAGACTACATCCCCAGGCAGGGGATGAAAGTGGACGCCCCAAACTGGTGATACAGCAGCAGTACCTGCTACCTCCCCTGATTACGACTTGAGAAAAAGGGACTGAAACCCATAAACACAGCTTTGGGTGCCTGTCACCAACTGTGCAATGCACCTTTTCTTTCAATCTCTGTTGAGATGTTCATCTCAAGATGAACAAGATTGCTGGCAAGCTGCCCTTAGGAAGCCCATCAGGAGGACTGATCCACAGCCAGGAGAGAGGTTGCTCCAGTGCTTGCATCAAGAGGTGTGCGCACACCAGGACTCCCAGCCCAAGCTTGCGAGAAGCAGGAAGGGTGCAGAGACCATTACACTGATCATGCCTTGTTCCTGTGTTACAACAAAGGGGCTTTACTTGGAACTGATGTTCTGAAAGTTCTCTGAAGCCATCACCAGCAACCAAAAAGATAAACATAATGTGTTTAGTGTTTCAACTAAGATAGCTGCTGTGCTATTTAGGACTTATACCTACCTAACACTGACCAGACCATGAATAATTACTTGTCTGCATCATGTTTTGCACTCACATCAATATCCAGCTTCAAACTGAAGGAAGCTGTACAGCAAGTAGTGCTGGTCAGAGCCACATGAGCTCCCTTTAGAAAAAAACACTATAGGTATGCTTACACAACTTGTGTTTGTATAAACACCAGTGCTGATATTTGCATACAATCTCACAGAAGTCTATACCTGAAAGACGAAAGGGAGCCAAACGTCCTCTTAAAGTGTTGGAAGCATCTGCCACTAGATGGCTGACGAGATGTACTGAGGAAAAAAAATTCTGTAGCAGGCTGATGCTGTGAGCGAGAGGGGTACATTTGGGCATAGCAAGGGCAATAAAAGCAGCATGCTGTTACTATACCAAGGATATCAACACGAGAATTTGGCTGGCAATCCAGGCCAAGGTTTTAGATACAGTAAAGAACTCAGAAGCTGGGATTTTGGTTTGTTAAATATCAACACTCAAATCATCAGGTCTGGGCTCTGCTCCTGACAGAGCCAGTCTCTCCTGGCAGTCTCACCTTCGGCTGGGAGTCAGCAAACAGTTCCTCCTCTTCAGGATTGAGGGCAGGCTGATTCCAGGAGGCCAGTGTGATGGGCTTCAGGCGGCCTGCTGCCCCTCTGGTACCTGGCTGGCTGTCATCCACGCTCTGTACAGCCTTTCCATAGGACAGTAAGGAAGCAGGCCATTATACGTATGTCACAGCATTAAAGATTAAGTCTGCACAAACCAGATTCAATGCCAGGGCTGCATTTTGGAGGTGTTTTTACACCTCTGCCTAATGAGATCACTAGCCATTTCTTACCCGTTTCACCAGAAGAAAATTTGAGCAATCCATTTCAAACACAAGGGAACTGGAACTTACACTTGGGCATTTTTTTTTTTGTAGTGAAGAATACTTCCTCCATCCCCATGGCTCTGAGAACTTGAAATACTTGCTTCTGACTCAAGTGCTGTGTTTTCAAATGTGTTTTTACAGCAAAGGTGTCAGTTAAAAATGGCATAGTGGGCATAGAGGTATTAACTTCTAATTTCTGTGTAACAGCTGCTGGTCATAGGTTGGAATAGCCAAGCTGAGATTTTTTCTATCAACTACACATCTGTGCTACTGTCAGCAATGCTAATGGCAAGTCTACTGCATGCTTTAATACATTAAGAACACCTGTTTACTGAAGCCAAAGGCACCACTTGCAGATGGATTTTCTCTGCTCCTTCCTTCAATGTCGGATTGATCAAATCACCATGTAAAAGCAGCAGTAACGTAAGGTTGTTAAAATCCAAGAACATTCATTAGCAGATTCAAAAGCTGTTTGCTACACGGAATTGTTAGAACCAGGATATCTTCTGAAGGAGAAGTAAATAAAGACTATTTGGATTAGCTTTTGGATTCGCAGTCTACTCATTTGTATAATATTAATTTGGTTTCTAATAGCATGTCATTCCCATTATTAGCTCCAGCAGCTAACAGTAGCAGAAAAAAGTGTTATTAGAGCTCACACAATTGGACTGCCAGGTGGTCAATTTCAGGAAAAAGAAGGCTCAGACACAGATATTGTAGAAACAAAATAGCATTCAGGGATGCAAGAAATAATCAATTCGACAAAATGACACAGCTTGAGAAATTGTTTGAGCCATAGTTCAAGAAACCAACCCCAAACCTTGTAAGGAACAGGCATGAAATCCTAGCACAGGCAGCAGAAGGATTTAGAGTTTGGAATTTCTTTTTACCATTCTCACCAGGAGCCACGCAGTGCAAGGTAGCCTTTTGTACAAGATGCTGAACTGGGACTTGGGAGTCACCAAGAGACCAGCCGAGGGCTCAGAAAACTAGCCTGGCCTTTCTCAAACAGCAACATGGAGCTCCTTATTTCCTGAGATTTCTCCCCGACAAGTCAAATTTACAGCATGATGCTTCTTGTTATCACAGCTACACTCAGCAGCTTAAAGCAACTGAGGAACCCATGAAAGACTAAGATTTCTGGCAGGCATTGCCTCTGGCTTTTTCACTCTCAGCTCTTCTGCTATCTTGGAGCTTTCTGTACAGTAAGAATCACTTTTCAACATCAGGTTGGTGACGAGGTACCAATGCATGGAAGCAAGGCCAGGGCAGAATATGGATTTTGTGGCTATGAAGGATCCAGCTTACCAAATACTGGGAAGAAGTCTGAATTTCAGCTTTTTTCTCCACTGCCCCAGCTACTGTAAATCCAGGATTTTACAGGGGACCTTTTGCATCCACGTCCCGAAGGGCCAGACAACAGCAGAAAGCATTCATCCCTCTTCTCCAAGGCCACTATTAAGCTGCAGTTATGATGGTCTACAGTGGTGGACTATCATGTGCCTGATCTTCCTGGGCTGCATTTCCAGGACTTTCCACGGTAGAGATGAGCTGACAGTCCCACATGGGAACAGATCAACTCAGGTGACACATTTAACAGATCACAGCCAAGCTGCAGAGGGGCAGACCTCTTTCTAGGTTGATACTTTGCAAGGACAACCTTCTGGTTCTGCTCTGAGCATTGCTTTCAGAGGGAGGCAGTCCTCCTCAAAGCTGAGGGAAAGGGGGCTTGTGAAGATGAGACACTACTGGAAATAGCAACAACATAAGAGGGCTTTTAGTCTGCTCCTACAAAGAGGAAACATTCTTCTCACAAAACCAGTTTTATACCTTCTTTTACTAACCTTTGTTTCACTCCACAAGGCATCTTCCCTGCTTGCTTGATCTGCTCCTGTTTTTAACTGCTGCCCATCTGGCCACACCAACATCCTTTTGACGCCTGAGCCATCCTGAGACTTATTTCTGTCCTCTTTCTCCAGTAACACAATAGTCATCCTGATGAGATACAGTTCAATATTTGCAGGAACAAGTTTTCTAATTGCTTGAATTTTGGTGGTGTCTTGGGAAAGAAACATAAATACAATATTAATTGTTTTTTAATCCTCTTGCCCCTTATTCACTTTTCTTACATCACAAAACACATCAGTTGTCCCTCATTAAAGCATAGAGTAGATTAAGGCATAGAAAAGACTGAAAAATAAAACATATGGGTTTGACCGTAAGAAAACAGATCATGAGCTCATGGGATAAATCCCCACCTCATTCATGCTCACACACACTTACCATCCTCAAATTTAGTCTAAAACATCAGAATCGTCTACTTTAACTTGTGTGCCCTATCAACCATTTTCTCTTGAAAGGAGGGCTATATTAGCTCAGGCTGAAAAGCCTCTCTGCTTTCTTAAAGATAGTGCCATGCCAGTTCTCCATTCTAGCGTGGCACTAAAATTAAGAAGGCCATCTGAGAGTCTGGTTGAGCCTGTAACTGCTGCTGAAATTAATCTGCAATAGGACAAGAGTAACAAAGCTAGCAAGTCAGCAAACTCCGCCAACCTGAGAAATTAAACTGCGAGGGAAAGACTAAACTTAAAGTTGCTCAGTCTCAGAACCACAAGTCAGTACATGGTTGTCTTCAGCCCATGGCACCAGATGACAGCACTGAAGAACGAACTGCTTTTGCTGCATTTCTCAGCCTCCTCATGATAAACAAGTATCTTGCAGACAAGTTGCACTAGGGAAATTCTACAGCTTTTATTCAGCATATTTTCTGTAGATGCCAGTACTTACAGGAAGACTTTGTGAGGCTGATGTTTTTTTCCAAAAACACTGGAGTAAATACAGATTTGACAATGATGCCTGAATCCTTTCAGTGGCCATACAATTGAGTGAAAGGATTTGTAAAGGGCTACCCTTCTTTTGCTCCTTAATGAATCACAATTGCCTTATTTTACAACATAACCTTGAAAGGAAAGCAATGACCCTGCCATTGCCATGCTCTACCTTGCCATAGGCCTTCCAGAAATGATGAGTTCTACCTAAAGAAACACCTGAGCTGTCAGTTTTTCATTCCCTTCATCTGTATGCCACTGTCATGAGAAGCTTCAGATAAGGGCTGCAATGCTCACCCGAGTCAATGGGAGGATTACGGATAACATCAGAAATGATCTGTTGAACTTCAGGAGTCAAACCTGCTCGTTCCAGGTTGACAGGGTAGCCAGCTTTCATTGCCTGGAACAGGTGAGTGCCAACTTCAGAAAGAGGCAGAGATCTGCTCTCACTTATAGTCCTCTAGGGAAACAAAGGCAGAAGGAATTAAGACGGCATAAGTGTCTGAAATACAATTGAAAGCTCAAAGCCTGGCAACCTCCCATTCCCAAAAAGCAATCAAGGAATACTGGCACATAGCAGTGTAACAAAGCTCCCCAAAACACTTCATTACTCCTAATATTTATCTCATTTCTTCTCCAGCTTGTAAAGAAGATTTTTCTCGAGGCTACTACTTCTCAGCTTGAGTGCAACATCTCAGCTTGAACTTACTTCAGATGAAGAGAGGTTCTACCCAGGAAGAGTGCTGTGCAGCCACCTCAAAGGCTCACTACGGCCTGCTTATAGCTCACATCCCTTCTGTCACAAAGCTCGCTACCACCCCCTTTCTACCCTATGGCAGCTGAATCGCAGCTATTTCTACCACAAAGGAAACAGATGCTTTTGCCTCACAGCTAAGTCAGAGTTATCAACCCAGCTCCTACTTCATGAGATTTCTGTGTCAAAGCTTCACGTGTCTCCTGCTAAGTAGCTGTGATGCACCTGACCTCCCAGTGGCCTATTTGATCCATAACATCTATGTAGAACATGGATAAGAGGATAACCAAAACAATTTCCCCCTCACTTTCACATCTGTTAGATGAATTCTTCTGTTAAAACATTTGCCTTGAATAAAAACATCTCAATCTACCTAAACTTGTACTTTTCGAGGAGAGATTTCAAACTGTTACTCGTCTTCCTCAGTAAAAGCTTGAAAAAAGCTCTTCTTTCAATTTCTCCCCAGACAATACACATACTGTGCATGTAATCATCAGGATTAGTGGATACAGAGCATCAAGTTACCCATTAATAATTATACAACTGTTTCTCATTAATTAGTCCTTAGGTACAGTTTTAAGTTAGGGACCATGTGACAAGGTCTACTTGTACTCTTGAGGGGGGGAAAGCAAAACTCAAAGCAACTTCAGTTTCCTACTGTAGAATTAAAAAGCAATAAGATGAAACATATCAAAGCAGCTCATGAGTCTTATCTTCACAGGGCACACAGCAGGATGCCAGTTTAGCCACAAGCCCTGTAGCACTTCAACTTAGATGCGACAAGTAACTTGTCCTCAACTTCTGTTTGTAACAGGAAACACAGCTTTCCAAAATCTGAACTAGAAAGCCACAATAATAGTTCACACTTAGACTTTAGTTTTGAATTGAATCTTCCCACAAGCTTTGTTTCTTGACATGCAAGTCTTACACATGGAAGTGGCATAGGCAAAGGAATAGGGATTTGCTACCTAAACCAAGAACATAGTAAGTGAAATTTATCCCAATGGTTATTAACCTTAAAGATATGCCTATATACAGCCCCATGCTTGGTGTCCTTTCCCACAGGCTACTGGATCAGGAAGTTATTCCTTACTATGAAAAAGGAAAAAGAGAAACAGGCAGAACTAACACCTGCAATAGAAAAGCACGCTGCATAACTGTACTGAAACATGCCAATGAAGTACCAGCAACAATTCTGCCTGATGCCCTGCCGATCTGTGCGGGCATTGTAACATGTATGGAGCTGTATCTCACCTCACTGTATCCCACCTTACAGCAAGCCCAGTTTTTCATACTTTTACCAGTCCATAGAGGTAAGTCAGATAAGCTACCATTTGCCAGGAAGGATACTGCCTCAGTGTTTTAAAGCAACCCCACGCCAGCACTGGGCAGAGGATTTAAGAGAACTTGCAAATCCCCCTCCTCTAGACAAAGCATGCCTGCCATTAGTTTTTGAAAAGGAAATGACCTTCACAGGGAAGGGCTTACCACAGAGAGATTTTTCTCCTGGAACAGGACATAGGTGACGTGTTCCGAGGGAGACAGGGCTTTAGTAGACTTCCAGGGAGATGCTTCTTTCTGATCTTTAGATCCAGACATGGGGAATATGTCAGTCTAAGTGAGATAAAGAGGATTCAGAAGAATTATATCCCAGTCACAACCAATGGATATCTGAAGTTATCTAAAACAGTAACATAGATGAGTCATTCATCTCTATGGAGGTTAGTTTTGACCCCAAGTCCATGTTCCACAAAAAACACCAAAACAAAGAAGGAATCCAATGGACACCCACATACTCCCTTCTTAATAAAACAAACATGGGATTGTCCAAGGGACTTGCAAAAAAAAACAAACCCACACACCACAAAACCAGTGTTCAGGTCAATACAACTTCTTAGGTGTTGCTCATTACACATAAAACTGTTCCATCAAAACAAACTGTGGTTTTCAGCCTGCTGCTTAGTATGGGAAAGTCCTCCGTTTGTTTTAATCTTTTGCTCAACACAGATTTCTTAGGGAAAAAACAAAAAAACCAAAAATTATTTTGGTCCCCATTCCTAGATCATAATAGCTTTCTGTGAAGCAGAAAGAAGACTCCACAGAGCCTTCTCAAGCATTACAGAGAAGTAGTATTGCTGCTCTACCTGCTTTCTAGAGTAGATAAATCCCTTTAACTGCAGATTTACATAGAAATTAAGATCCCCAAAGCAAAACTGCTTCATAGTTCCTCTAATCCTCTCCTCCACGGTCTCTCCCTAGTGGTGTCTCTCACCATAGTGGCTGATGAGGAGCCACTCTACAGAAAGTCTTGGACAGAAGAAAATCAACTGTGAAAAGAGAACCAACAAGAATATTTCCAACAGTTGGAAATCTAAGCTCTTCTGCCAGTCTCCCAAGGAGATGCTTAGAGGAAGCAAAGCCCTGTCCTCCAAGTCTACCGAGTCAGTAAACCACAGTGAAGGAACACTTCCTATACCTTTGGCCTCCAGGCCCAAACCACAATAACTAGCTGCAAGCTCTCAATAATACCACACCTAGTGGATACTCAGCCTGGCCAGATGGGCGACCTTCATAAGGACACCCTGAACTTTCAAGATGACCACACCAATCTGGAACATCAGCCAGGTCCTGATGTCATTGCCAAGTAGCACATTCAGATTTGGGAGGCCTATTTGTACAAAAAGGCTAGCAAGTTTCGCTGCCATGCCTAGATAGAATAGCTGTGACAAGGACAAACTCTGAAGGAGAAATCTGACGCTGCAGACCAAATGTCTTTAAGGCTCTTGCAAAATAGCAGACACTTTAGTAAGTAGTACCTGCAAACCATTTACTTGGCAGAAGTCCTTGATTTCAGCCAGGAGAGGGATCAGCAGGGTGGATTTTGCTTCAGATACACCATCAATTCTCTTCGTATTCTCAACATTTGTAGGCCTGGTTTAGGATGAATAATAAAAGCCATGTCCTATGACAATGCTTTGAAACACCAAGTGTCTGTTAATGACACACACTTGGACTACAGATCTATTAGTCAAAACTTGGAAGTATTATTATTATACCCTCATCATCTCTGCAACGAATTAAGTTCACTGTTTGCACTTCTGAATCATGAAGCTTGACCACAGCAAAAGTTGCTTTGCCGCTTAATACTTTGGAGGATCAGTTCACCACATACATCTTTATTTGCTTTTACCTCCCAAGAGCACATAAGCCCAGAGCTCTTCCATGGATCAACAACATACACATTCTAGAAGTAGTGCTGTCTAATGCCTTTTAGTAGCCAGGGAAGGCACTTCAGATGCATTACTAACTGAGCTGCCCCACAATACCCTCATACAATGAGGAAAAAAAAGTTTTCCCTTCCATTCAGTAGTTGAGAGCAACACTATATTGTGCTTATTCTTTTACGCTACAAAGCTACCCATGCAAGGTAGGGGACAGCTCCCGACCTGTAGCTGACCCTTAGCAGGATAATGGCATACTAAAGTGATTGAAACACACAGAGAAGCACACAGAAAGGTACAGATTAGTAGAAAACGTACACCTTCCTCCTCTGACTGGTCAACCTAATAGGAGGCTTGGATACAAAGACAGGCAAGGCTGTCATCTGGGTTTTTTTTTAGTAATAACTAGAATGAAGAAGCAAGTCTGATGTCAATAACTGTTTAAACTTACACCAGTTAGTGGTCTACAAGGGTATTAGAGCAAATGAAGATCCTCAGGAAAAGATCTGCTCCTCTACCACAGAGGCATACTCTCCCAACAAAAGCAGAAAGGGGATTTGTGACTTGGCTTGCAACCTTCTCAGTTTGTACAACATGCATGCATGCTGGCTTTACCTTATTCGGGCCATCTCCACCAGGATCTTATTGGTTGCCAAGACAGCTGGAGGAATTACCTTCTCATTAGCTACCTTCTGTCTAGCAGTCAGCAACTTGCCATACAGAGCAGCCTGTGAAGAACAGTGCCAAATTCTCATGAAGCAGCTCTAAATCGCTCACATAGGTGTAATTAATATGAGAGGAAAAGTTATAACTTCCTTCATCTTTCCACTAATACAAAAAAAACCTGCAACCCATTAATCCATCTTAACATATTTAAACACTCTACTAGGACTTCTATTCAAAACATCTTTGTAATAGTAAGAGCTGCCCAAGCCAGCTGCTCCAATACCGGTGGACCATAGCCTGCAGGTTGACTGCAATTCACAGATATCCTCCCTCTTCCAAGAAACCTACCTCTAGTTCTTTTTCTCGGGATGAAACAACAGGTTCTGGAGGCTTCAAAGGAGATTTCACTGGTGAGTGCTCTGCAACACTAAAAAATAAAGTACCACGAAACAAGCCCTGCATTAGGTCAGTATATTCAGGAACTTTGCAGAAGGCTGTAGGAGAGCAGCAGCCCAACTTATTTGTCCTGCTGTCTGACAGCAGCATCAGACTGTGGTCTGGCACCTTGTGCTAAGGCTGCACTCATACAGGACTTGAACTGGTTGGGGCAGAATCAGCAGTATCCTCACTGTAACAGAATTCGTCTGTGTTTGGTCCTGTAACTTAAAAATAGCCTCTTACCGTACAAAGCTCAAGCAGATGAAATTGCAGTTTTGTGGAAAAAAACCAAACAAACTCAAAATATCCCTATCAACAGCTAGATGCTCATTAACAAAAGCATATTCTTACAAGCATTTGTCCATTCATCACATTATTTCGACAGCATCCCACGAGAAACACCTTACATTCTTCCCCATGGCCAACATTAATCTTGGCCAAAAAGAGCTAATAACTTCAAAAGCATCAGTGACAAGGACACAGTTGCTGTGCTGCAAGCAGAATTAAGCTGATATTACTACTAGGCATGTCTGCCCAGAGAGCAGCACCACAGCTACTGGTCCATGGGGTCATTACTTACCAGTCTAATTAGGGGTAAATGTCCCTATGATTACACTGCAATATCTGTTAGACAATCTAGAGGAAGATTATCCTTTCCTAAGAAAAGTGTGAAATAACACTTGTTTTTGATTGTAGCTGTCTCAAAATTATTTTTCTTCACATGGCTACAGTGGCAATTATTCAGCTTAAGTGACATATCCTATTTTCCTGTTGTCTGCCAGCATCAGGCTGCTTGCCTGAAGGAGGAATTGAACCGCTCAGAAATGCAAGGTGCATTTAATCTGAAACACCACACAAGCCAGGAAAACAAATTACTTGGTCTGCTTTTTGCCAAAGTTTGTTTTATTTCTTTTGACCTGAGGGAGCCTCAACTTGATCTCAGTCCTCTCCAGACTAATGTAGAAAGGCAGAAACCTACATGCTCACTTACAGCCCCTGCACAAGGCATATGTTCACTTCTGCCAGCTTTAAGAGCGAGTCACAACTTCGTCACTTTTTTGCCTGAATTACATTTGGAAACTGTTTGTAAAAACCTCTTCTCCATTTCTTATTTTGAATCATCACAAGTTAAAATCCATTAGTTTCAACCATCACATAGAAAATAGACTGAAAAAAACACAGGCCCAGTAAAAGTATCCTATACAAATCTGCTATTGCTCCATTTTTATCCACATTTGCTATTTTTCTTGCTTGGATTTGAAGTAATACCAGTAAGAAAGCTGGCACTTCAGCAATTAATAAAGCTTGCTTTGCATGTGACACTACAAACATACACAACTTGTCAAATTCAGCAAAGCCTGTTAAATGTTGTAATAGTTCAATGTTTTGAACTACAATGCAGTATACAGCAAGTTTTAAGCACTTGTCTTTTTAACACATAAACATTTTTACTGTCACTTCACATAGAAAGCTGATTTTAAGGATCAGCCTACAAACAGTATCCCTATTAACACAGTCAAAATTAGGTAATTCTGTTTTAATTTAGAATACTGTACCTGTTAAGTATGTTATTGGTTCTTGCAAGAGTTTTACCTTTTCTCTCACATGAAAACATATCATACAGAGACATCTATAAAAAACAGAAGACAACAAACATGCCGATTTATTAGTCTTTCCACTGAAGTTGCTGTTAGCAGCAAAATATTCACTATGATACACTTACAAGTTTTTTTTAATACTAGCAAGGATGGACCACAGAGTGCAAGAGGGGTTGTACTCATACAGACCTGCTTGACTGGTGACCGTGTTGTTCCTTTTGTGTCTGGGGAGCGCTGTGCTGAGAGCACAGGTAAAGGTCTACTCCTGTAATAAAATATAATTATATCTTAATAAAAATCAGACCAAGTTATTTGTATAGTGACACTGCCATTTAAAAAAACCCAACATTTTGCTAAACAAACTGATTTGAAGTTGTTACAGGGATATCTTTGGCGAATCAAAAGTTCTTATTGACTTCTTTTAAAAGTTATTAGAATCACCATTCTTGGTGAAAAACCACCGGGGACCTCAAGGCCTCTTAATACTAAAACCTTAAGGAACAAGAATCTTGTCTTATGGAAGAAAAAGATTTGTGACAACAATGGAAAAGTAGGTCAAGTGCATAATTGGGAAAACTAAGTTGTTAGCTGCCCTATTTAAAGTCTCACAGTTTAACTCATCAATATTAGAAAGAACGTAAATCTTGATGGATTTTCCTCTACCATTTCTTGTATTTAGCTGATTAGTTTCTCCATGACGATGCATTGCCACAACATACTTCCAGGCTACCCAGAATCATTGATGAAGACACACGCTTTCCGAGCAGTTTTGGTAGTTTCTCCAAACTACATTTCCCCACTAACCTTCCCAGTTACACGACTGTCTAATTAGCTCCACTGAAGACCTCAGCAATGAGGCACTGTCAGATTTAAACAGGCAAGCCATGCCCTCTCACTTTCATACCAGCAGTCCATAGAGGTGGTCTATCCAGGCACTCCCATTGACTTTTTTTGTATTATGACACTGCCTAAGGGAAAACTTTCGCTAGAAAATCAAGTGCAGAAGTCTCCTGTCCAACCTAGCCATCTCCAGAAGCAGGCTTCAGAAATGGATCTGATGTTAAATTAATAAAAGAAGTACTCAAGAGAACACAAGTACTACAATTACCTTCTAGGAGATCTCTGCAGATTAAGGTCTTCACTGGACTGTAATAGAAGACTTGGATTTGAAGCAGATCTAGCTTTTAACAGCCAATTTCTACCCTGTAAGAAATAAACCATATGGCTTAGCTATAGATTACTCAGAGAAGCTTTCGATGGGTAGTTTCACACCAAAAAGTACCTTCTGGGTAAGCACACACGTGGTTGCAAATTTGCTACGCCCAGAGACTTCTTCGAGGAATTCTTCTGTTATCAGCTGTTGGCAGAGCAATTTCCACCAGTTCTCTGGCCAGTCTTTTCCACTACCAAAGAGAGGGTGTCTACGGTACACGTCTGGCAAGCGTTGGGAACTCTGAAATTATTGAAAGAACTGGTCAGGCTTCTCCAGTCCTTTTAGAAGAAAGTTTCCAATATAACCAGTAAACCAAAAACCCGAGAAGTGAGGAACAGGTCCTCAAGAACATTTTTCCACAGAAAAACTTTACAGAAAAGTCCCAAGCCAAAATATTTTATTCAAGTTTACGTATATCCATTACAATAACCAAACCTACAGCACCTCAATGATAAGAGCACAAACCATGCCTATTGCCTTGTTCATGTCACCTGAGGAGCACTCTCACTTCTACTAACCTAATCCACTCCTGCGCCTTCTGCCAAGGCTGTGACAAGATCGTGACTTTCTGCAGTAAGACCCCAGACAAACCTACGCTTAGATCACAGAACTGTTAAAACACCTCCCTCTGTATGTGGAGGAGGTTACAGGAACGACCCAGCCATCCACAGCAGCAAAGAAAGTAAGTCATCTAGAACAGTTCGTATTCAACCAGTTCAAGTCAATCTTACATCACATGAGTTCAAACAGAACTAGTTACCTGTTCTGTTTTTAACTAAGAAGAGCCTACAGAAGTAAAAACAAATTGACAAGTCCTGTTTAAATTGCAGGACAGGGGTACAAAGCCAGAAGCAAGCTCACTACAGATGTCTGCTCTACTCTTCCTTCTCTGGCCTTCACTATAAAGTGGGTTTTGTTTGCTTTTGTTTTGTTTTTAAAAGTTGATTTACTTGTCTCTTACCAATGGTTCAGACCCTAAAAAAAGCTGATTAGCTCCTGTCTGAGTTCTCACACCCCCTGAACTCAGGGCCCAAATGGATGGCAATGGGCTAAAGATCCTTTCACAAAAAGAGAAACTCTTGGCATGAGCCTGAAAAGTTGAGAACTTTTCTGAAACAGGGGATCAAGCATTAGCAGTTAAGAGTGTCTCAGACAGAAAGAAGTTTCAGTTTATTGCTAGCATATGAAATTAACAGGAAGGCACAGCAGGCTTCAGACGCTGTTATCTGTAGACTTGCTGAATCCCTCTCCACTGCAGAAACTACAGGGCCAAACAAGTAATTTTTTTTTATATATACATGTACCTGTATATACACCAATCATATCCTCCAGAGAGTGTATGTGTATACACATATATCTGCGATGCTATTTAGATAGGACATCCCATGGGAGGAAGTGGTGAGAAAAAAGCAGGGGGTGAGACTCACCAGTATAGTCTTCGACAACAAGAGAGTGTGGGGTGGAGGCTCACCTCTTACCACTTATAGGGCTGGTTGTTAACACAGGTTATCCAGATTCGTGTTAGTACTTCTACCAGAATCCCCTCATGCTAGGCGCTATGCAAACACAGAGCATCTATCCAAGAATGTCGTTTTCCTTATAAAGGAAAATAGAACAGGCTGATGTTGAGAAGAGGAAACCACATGAAGGAAGTCCAGGACAGGCAGCAGATGGTGGCCTGCTAAGCTCTGTACTACCTTCAGGGATTACAGTAAAGGAACAATTTGGAAAATTTCAGACAGTCAAGGAGCTGCTATCCTACACGCACAAAAAGAGCAGCAGGAAGAGGGGCTGGTTTCAGACCTTTAGCAGCAGGGGATGGAAGGTGGAGCAGCCAGCTGCAGGCAAGCGGGGCTCAGCTCACTGCTGGATGGGACCAGGGCCCAGAGTCCCAGTGGTGAACACAAGCAAGTCACCCATTCAGCAGGCAAAGAGAAAGCATCAAGTCCCATGTCCTCTCTTCTAGAGATCCCTCAACTTTTAACATGCCTTACTTGAAAGCATGACTACATTCCTAAGCTTTTAGTTATGCCAGTTACATTAATTACTCCAATGGCTGCACATTTTCAGAGCATTGTTTTGACTTGAAGAACAAATTCAATAATGGAAATAACTATAAAAGGAATGAGATGCAGAACGCTAAACTTCGCCTCCACATTTGGGCTAAGCACTGTCAGTTAAGCTTGGCATAGGACTGACCAACAGAAGCCAAAATTGCTATTTCAACTTCATACAAATTATTAAGTGCTAGACGTACTACTAAAAGCCACTCACCACCAGTCACTGAGACTACTAATAACAATAATTGCTGAAATAGCTACAAATTCCCCTGTCTGCTGATAAAAGGAAACCTTAAGAGTTGCACATTCTTCTTTGTTTAGCAGTGTTAGTATAATATTTCTGTCAATGCAACTCTAATTCACTTTCCCAGAGGGCCTTGTTCGCTTTCATGGTCTGACTCAGCTTTCAAATGTTAAGTGAAACATGGTCTCCCCTTGTGGTCCACTCAAAGCCTGTTGGAAGCCACCTGGACTTTGCAAAGAGGTACCACTAACTTAAAAGAGCATGAATCCTCCATAAACTATACACAAGCTTTTAAAGCAACATACCAGTCAGCCTCAGACAGATATAGATGTAAACTTACAGTGATATTGATTATTTCATACATTGGTTCTAGAGTACACATTGATGCAACCAATTAAAGAAACATGTTTTTTTGAAGTTATGTTGGCCCAGAAAAGGGTATTCTTGTAGGCACTAAAAGGTTAGTCTGTATTTGCAGTACAAGTTTGGCATCATCTCCACTTCTTCCAGTAATGTCTAATAAATTAACAATCAGGATTACATTAACATATGTAACAATATTTTTCCCCTAGACACACTTGTGTGACAATTAACAACTTCCTTATTAAAAGGAAAAAGAGAGGGACATAATTGACCTAGTTTTATCAAGTACTACAGGTGATTTTTCACACACACCCCCGCCCTGAGTTAAACATAAAAAGTGATTCTGTTCTTACTCTCATATTTTATTTCTAGTAAGTTTCTTGCCTAGTATTTAAAAAACATTGTAAGTAAAGGTATATAGAGATCATTTATGTTCATTCTAGTATCCTATTTCCCATCTCACTACTTCCAAGTCAGACAGCAGTACAAAGCTAGAATGCAAGCCATCACTTGCTTTATTCAAACATATACCAACTAATTACCAAGCAAAGACATGTTTATTCTTCATTCTGAGAAGGCTATTCCTTTCAGGATAATGGAAATCATGCATCTTCATTAAAAAACCCCCACTTAACTGTCTCTACAAAAACAAACTCACCATAAAGAAAACAAAAGCTCAAGCCTTACAGGAAGAGCTTTAGAATCTCTACCAATATTTGGGCTGACATTCACATGTTTAATGGACAATTGTCAACAGCCAACTCAAAACAAGCCAGGAAATACAGGACAGCCCCACACAATGCAAATAGCAGGTACTATTTCTAAGCTGAACTCTCAGGCCATAGAGGGCTGAACATTGTACTGTTAAGAAAAACAGAACTAAGACAGCAAGTGCTTGGAGGCAGAAACTGTTCCTTTGCTATACGTGGATGAAGTACAACGTGCTTAGGAGGTCCACTATTTTTATGGCTGTTGCCTTTAAAGACAACAATCTAGTTTGCTACATGGGAAGTGCTGCTGAGCAGCTTCAGAAAGTCTGGACTACCCCTCTCTACAGATATGCAGCTCTGAGAAAAAGGAACTAAATATGTGTGTGTACACACATTTACATGTATGTATTTCAGTGTATCGTTTGGTATGCCAATAAAGAGACACACTAACAGTCCCTCCACTCTCAGAACACATACAAGGATTTTTACTATCACTTACAGACCCTCGGAGAAACAGAATGGGAACTCGAGTTCCAAACTTCTCTTCCAGGGCACTCACTGCAGACAGCAGCTGATACGCTTGCTGCCCAAAGTCCTGTAAACCACCTTCTGAGCTACTGGGGACTGCAAAACGAGAGGCTCTGAAATACACAAAGAAAGCTAAGTTTAACACACATACAAATCAAGTCCCCTCCCTTCTTTCAAGTATTGTCTATCAAGTGATAACTAAATAAAATACACACTTCCAAGTTACATTAATATAAACAATTAAACATGTTTAAGTGTAAAGAACTATGACTGAAAATATAAGACCAAAAGTCAAAATCACTTGTGGTTAAGACAGCTGCCAAACCCAACAATAAGTGGTTCTTCATGGTACTTGCTGTGACAGAACAACATTGCCTTCTGAATTTATTATTTAAATATTTGGACTGGTTTAGGTATACAAGACCTTTCTTTAATTGCACCTAATAGCAAAGAGGTTTTGTTTTTAAATAACACAAAGTGAAAACACAGAAGGAAAGAGCAATCCCATTGAAGATTTTCTAGGATTCGTTAATGCATTTGTCACTGACTGGAAAAACCCATTGAAAAATTATTGGCACAAACCACTTCTAAGGAGGAGAAAAACGAAAATTATTTATTTCAAGTGATTTCAGTTCTGCAACACAAATTCACCATGTGGCTCTTTACTGGCACAGCAACATGACTACAAAGATTGAAATTATGGTCTCTCAAATTATCTTCTTGGTTAGTTTTAGTGAAGGCCAGGAAAAGACTTCTTAATCCTTGAGCATACAGGAAATGTAGTTAAATTGACAACATTTTTTCCATGAAGCAACACAGCATAACATCTTGTCTCCGTTCAGCAAGCATCAGGCTACCAGAAAGAACAAGGAAACCTTTACTATAACTTCAGGGAAAGGATGTACACAGACACAGGGGAAACCGAGGAAGATGTTTCTGCTTGTACCTGTGTGCCTACCAGCCTCCTGGCTTCCCTTCAGCACATCTATGAGATTATTAGCAATACTAGAAAGAACATATGTCAGCACATGCCGTAACAGGAGAACAGCTCCCTTAACACTCCGGCAATTTAACCTTAGACACATGGTATCACACTCCACTTGCAAGTGTTTTCTTTTGCGATTAATTACCTAAGAACAACTTAAACTGATGAACGGAAAGTGTATTTCACACTAAGAGTGAAGGGTGTTGCTCTAAATCCTTTGAGGAACTGTGACCATACTTTGCTTACAGGCTTTCCTGCAGCCTAACTTAGAGCTTAAGGTGCCTCATGGCTTGCTCAACTATTCAGGAGAAGGTTAGAGACAGCTGTTCAAAGATATACTTCAGGCTGAACATCTGCAAGATCAGATGCATAAAAACTCAATTCTTTTAGATAATTTGCCTTGTAAATCAGCCTAAGAGAACATAACCTCTTCTATCAGTCTTCAGGGAAGAAAGCTTACCTGTACCTGCAATTATCACAGCATTCTTCCGTGCCCATGATGCCAGAGGAAACCTTTCGCAGTTGTTTGTCTTCAAAATGAGACAGGATGATTCTACCGAAGGGAATGTAGGGAATTAAATAAAAGACCAAGAATTTACACATTGAATTTATTGCAGAAAACAGAGTTGAAGTCAGCATCATTAATTAATTCACTGGGGAGCCAATTATTTGGCCCTGATTCTTCCAAAGAAAAAGGTTCTTTTTTTTTAAAGTAAAAAAGGAAACACTTGATGTATATGTATAGTTATGTCAGAGGGCACATTTTTTTAATATTGCATTTTAATATAAAACATGTTTGCAGGACACATTGGGAGCATAACACACTTTCTGGTTACAACCTCCAGTTGTGACCAAGTCACAATGGCTTTTACCAAAGCTGACCATAGGGATAAAGCATTAAATAGATTCCAGTACTCACTTTCTCCTGCAGCTATTTGACAAAAGGTAGTTCTCTACTTTTGCCAACATCTTCAGTTTGTAGAACCGGAACGTTTTATTGCGTATCTCGCTTAGAAGACGTCTATCAGTCAAAAAGAAAAATGAAGAGCCTTAAATACTGACCACTATTCCCCTGTCCCACACCAAAGTGAAATATGCCAGACAACTGTGTCTGTCATATTCAGCAGAAATAACTAGAAAAATATCTTACTAAAACCAGACCCAAACTGCCTGCCTGTTTCTACATCATCTTGATCCTTATAGCACAGGGCATACTCAGAAAAGCACCTTACCCATATTCTTCTAAATATGACAATTATTCTAAACAGGGCAGAAGGAGACACAGAGCTTCTTCCAACCCCATGGACTACCAGCTTCAGAAATCCATGTCAAAAGACACAGAGGATGGAGGAAAGGGCAGAGGGCATTGAGAAACGGTAGTTTCTCTCACTCTCTAGTTTTCCAGACTCCGGCAAGTTCTCATCCATGCCACTGCCAGATCAGAAATATACGCTAGGATATCATCACTCTTCTCTCAAACTCAGAGGTGGCATGTTAGGACACATCTACCTACTGCCTAATTTAATATCCTTTATAGTAAACACTGGAAGCATCCAAACAATAGCATGGGATTACTTCATGGGTGTATGGAACACTCACTCTGCCCATGGTCTGAGCTGCTGCATGAGCCAAACCTGAGCTACCATCTGCACCACATGGCATCAAAAACAAGCCAATACTGCAGGTGCTGGGCACCACATTAATGCAGCTACACTATTCCAGCTCAAAGTTGAGCAAAGCAAGTTTCTGCCGGCCTGGAAAAAAGCACAGGGAAGTATATGGTTTCATAGACTCTGGCAATCTGCTGACACAAGCTCAAGTGACCAAGTTCAAACATTTATGTGGTCCTATACCAGCTATGAACAAAATTAACAGGAGACCTCTACAACCAGGACATCCTCATGCAGAATAAAAAAAAAAAATATGTTTCTCCATTTAGAAATCTAGATACTGTAGAGAAAAAAGTAATTCTACAGCATCAGCAATCTTAAAAGGTGATGATGGGTCTAAAACCAGGTCGAGTGATTTACAAGACAAGTGACCAGGTTTTATCACTGCCTGCTGTGCAAAGCATCTTCAGAAAGCAGAACTGGAACAAGGACAAACTCATTAACATTAGTCCACATGTGGGTTATCTTCTAGAAGAAATAGAGCATACTTAGTACTGTGTGGATGCAAGAAGGGACTTGGAACCAATCCAAAAAATAAATCAAATTTTAAACCAAAACCACCCTGCTCCTCTTCTTTTTGGTATGTTTTGGCTATCCGTGTCAAAGCAGACATCTTCAGTCATTTACCTGTTAAAAGCCAAGTCTGTCGCAGTCCATAAGACGTGACAAGAAGCAGGAAGCCCATCACGACCAGCTCTCCCAATTTCTTGATAATAGGATTCCATTTCCTTAGGGGCACCGTAATGAATAACCATCCGGATATCTGCTTTATTGATGCCCATTCCAAATGCCACTGTAGCCACAATACACTACAAAACAGGAGCCGCATGCTGAATGTTTTGAAATGAGCATCAAGAATATGCCTGGATTAATGCTCACACACTTGGTGAGAACGTTTTGCTACAGACTCAAAATTCAGCCTAAATTACAATGGCTTCACTCACACCCAACTTCCACAGTACTGTTGTTAAGTCTGATTTTGGTCAGAGCATGAGCATAGGATTATAAACATGAGTGATGTGTTGTGGCAAATGCTACAGTGTTTTCAAGCAGTTATTCTCAAAAGGCACAAACCTATTGTGAAGGGGAACACAAGTCCCAGGATAACTCTTTGCCTCTTCAGCTGCAGGAAGAAGAAATCAGCTCACAGAACTTGTGATGATATTGTCCCAGCTACCACTATTTTCCTCAGATGCTATGCATTTTGAAGACACTAAAGGAATTTGAAATGTAAGCCAGGAATTCTATTACTGTCAGCATAGATCAGCAATTTCTTTGCCCAGAATTGGAGATAGTAAATGGGAAACACATGCTGATAGTACCAGCATCTTTCTTCTACCAGAAACTCTGCGATTATAAATAAGACCAAGCAGACCCAGTTTCCTACATACCTGAATTTCATCCCTCATGAACTGGTGATGAGTCTCTCTCCTTTGTTTGATTCCCATACCAGCATGGTATGCACCACAGGCCACATGGAGTTTATTCAATTCAGACACGACTTGTTCAGTCACCTTTCTTGAAGGGCAGTAGATGATAGTGGGGCCTTCAAACCCATATGCAGAACTGCTACAAATAACAGCAACACGTAAAGACACAGAACAGAAGAAGCCACCCTTCTGCAAAAAGTCCAACTGAACCTAGTTGAAAAGGCAATGTAGCTTTTCCAGCAGTTCACCTTCTTGGGGATTTAGAAATTGAAACAGATTTTAACTGGTCCACTCATACACAAGTTGTCTGTCCTTTGGAAAAAATGGGTCTGGAATTTATTTGATGCTTTTAAGTTTATTCTGCAAAACACAGAAGATTTGTCTCTGTAGAAGCAGCAGGTTAAGGTCTCCCAATTTCCTTAAAGTCATCAGGAAATACGCTATTACAGCTGTCACTTTTGAAATGTCCACATTTACGTAACAAGGTCCAAGTAAGCAATGAGAAATTCATTTATATTGCTGTAGAGGCACACACTGTAGCTTGTGACAAGAAGAACAGGGCCAGAACGGGTACACCACCAGGTCTACCAACAGAAAAGGACTGAAGTCGTTCTACTCAGATTATCTTTGTTGAAAAAAATAATCTTACCACAGATTTATAAGACTCACACACTTTTTGTACAATACTGTTTGGAAAGTTACCCACAAGCCAATCCACCATAATCATTGAAATTGCGACAGCGTCAGCGGGTCCTCTGAGAATCAAATGATCCTGAAGATCCTTAAGCTAGCAACATGCAAACAGCAAGAGTCCATCTCTCCTTGCCACAGAAGCCTTTTTTTAAACTGGGAAGAGGTGTGGGCACAACAACATGGGACATGACCTAACAAGTGACTAGCATGGTATCAGAGCCAAGCTACAGAGAAAGCCCAGGCTCTTCTTCACCAAATCAGTTTAAGACCATTACCAGTTCTTAGTACACATTACCAAAACTCAAAAACATTAACGTATACCTGAGGGATCAACAAAAACAGGCTTAAATCCTCACCTTCCTTTCCTAGTAAGGAACTGCTTTAAATCCCTAAGGATATTTCGACTTTGTTGTCCAACTTCTAAGTACAAGTTAGGTCTGTCAAAACTAGTACACGTGACCTGGGGATTCTTCAAGTTCAGACAATTCACTATGTCTTCTCTAATCGATGGACTTGCAGTTGCAGTTAAAGCAACAATGGGAATCTGCAATGAAGAATAGAGAAAAAAGTGCGAGACTTCTCACTGATTTTTTTTTTAAACCAAAAATATCATAAGTCAAAACTGAAATAGCATGCAAACAGGCACTTTAATCTGTTTATGATCACTGGATCAGCTCAGCTATCTCAAAAACCGTTAATATTTAGCTTCCTAGAGCTTTGGTCTACACTGTTCAGGAGAGTAGACAGGGATAGAACACTGTTGAAATGCAGGGTTTTATTCTGAATGCGTGGGTTTTATTACTAATATCTTCAACGAGTCTACAGTAGTTTTCTGATGTGGTTAGCTAAGTTTAGGGAACACAGGACAAAACTTCCAAGAAGACCATGTAGAGTTCAGGTCTAAGTTTTTGAGCTAATGCAATAAATGCTTGAGGAGTGTCTAGAAGTCACAGTTGCATGCTCTTACAAGCCACTTTTAAAAAACTAAATCCCTCAATATTAAACCAGAAGCTTAGGGACATCATCTTCCACAGCATGGGGATCCAACAAAGTAATTTAATTTTCAGAAGTTTCTGGTGGTCCAGGTTCAGAATACCCTTCATTTAAGCATTTGAGAAAAAACCCACAAAGCTCAGTCACCGCTGGGGACTGCATAAGCTCCAAACCAGCATGGTAAGTATACCCAAAAAACAACATCACGAGACTGGTATTTCAAATTATCACACAAAATGACACAGTATCCTTCTTTTATATTAGAAAATCAAACACATCAAAACCTCACCGATGGCAGGGTCTTTTTTAGTGAGCCTAAACTTCTAAAGGAATCTCTGAAGTCATGGCCCCACTCGGAAATGCAATGAGCTTCATCAACAGCTATGAGAGTAATACCTGGAGGGCACAAAACCACAGCATGGGCACATTAACAAGACTAACCAACATGGGAAGTGACAAAATACAAAACACCCCATTCTCTTCAATGTCAAGCTTTCCTGACAAGGCACTAGCAGTCTGCTTAAGTTTTTGTTTCTAGAATGCCTTCTGCTGCACTGACTCCCCAAGCCCATTCTTCTAAGATCTTCTTTTGTAAAAAGGCCTAAGAGCTTTTACAGACTCCTCCTCCCCCCGCAATCTCTGTTTCCTTCTCTAAGTTCTAAGTCTCCAACATCCCTCAAAATGGGTCAAAATCTTGAGCTACCTCTGACAGGACCTTTTCCCACCCCCTGCTTCCCAGACTTGTTTAATAATAGTCACAAACACTGTTTACAGAAGTCATTAGTTTTATTTTCTGGATTGCAAAACAAAGCCTGAGTGTCTTAGGTTTGCACTGAAGAGATAAGTGAAAATCCAGAAAAATATCAGGGGAGAAGGGTTAAAGATGCCCCTGGAAAATAACCTTACATTTTCCAAATTAGAAAAACCCCTCAGGTACAGATATTCCATTCTAATCTGTACGTTCAAAGTGCCCTAGTGTCAAAGAGGCCAAGCATACAGAAATTCAGATGGTTTGTTTTCTCCCTAGATAGTCCTCCCTGCCTACAGCACTAGAAACTCAGTTCCTTAATAAAAAAAATTCTTGGCATTTACATGCCTTGAGTTTACCCTACTATGAGAGATGTATCAGCTGCATCATCTCTGATGAAAAGAGAATTTCTAATATGTGCTATAGTGTTTCAAAACACAATTTCATTGTCACATTCTGAGAAAGATCAGAGACATTAGAATACTTAAACGAAAATATTTAGTGCTATAGATTTCACTTCCTGCGATTTAAACATGAGTGTTTTAGCACCTCTGTTCCCAGTGACTTGTCTAACATTCCCACGCCAAGATCACACTAAAGACACTACTCACATATGATCTTTTTTCATCAATGACAGGATCTTCTGACACCATTTACTGGCAGTCACTACACTAGCCTCTGAGCTCACTAGTGGTAAGAGATTGGTGAAAAATGTTCAAGCATTAAAAAAGTTTAAACATAATTATGAATTTAAGCTGCCTGCCAACTCATCCACAACCTTATCCTCAACTTACCAATAGTTTGGTCAAGATCCTGAAGTAACTTTAAGTTCCCCAAACAAAACTCTGGAGTCATATATACGACTCTGTACTGACCCCTGAAAGATCAAGAAAACGGATCATCACAGAAGGAAAAAGCCCAGACAATTCAACCAAATGAAACAAAACCATCATTATCTAGAAGATGTAAGTAAGAACAAGTACAGACTTCTAGACGGGGAACAAGAGGAAGGAAGTGAAGACCGTTGAAGGCATTCCAGAACAGGAAAGCAAGGCAGTACACAGTATTATAGGAAAAGAAAAAAACAGCAGAGAGATTTATTAGCCTTTAGAACAAGAAGGGAGTGTTGTGGTGATTTGGTGACAAATATAGGTCTAAGACATGTGTAAAGTCATGTACAAATCACAACCTAAAGCTGAGTCAACAAGCCCCATGTCCTCAGCCAGAGGGCACAAGAGGGTGGCTATAGCCTCCCACACGCTCAACCTGGCTGAATGCAAGCAGTATCACTGACTGCCAGGTTCCAGGTCTGAGCCAGAATCAAGAGTTCCAGCAATGACAGATTGGGGAGACATACTACCACTCAAACACACCTACGTCAGAACTCGCAGGCCCAGAAAGCTTAGCTAAGACTTACGCTTTGATGCATTCTTTGATGTTTTTCGACTGAGCCGAACCAAGCAAGCAAGCTGGAATCCCTGACATTCTGCAGAAGTAAAAAGCACAGTCATGAACGGATTTACTCTCAATGCTTTCTGCCTTAGCTTTCAGCCTATGCCAGCACTTTGTAAAGGAAGTTCAAGCTGTGAGGTCAGAGTCTACTTTCTTCCAAGGATGTCTGTGGGGAAAAAACCTTTTGAAAAAGTAAGAGTGGTCAGTGGCTATTCCTGCCACCCAAATGCTCTTCTACTTCCCCTCCAGCTGTCCCCCACAACACACACAGTTGATTAGTGCAATAAGAAAGCGAGAAATAAAGACCACTTTCCTTGCACAAGAGCAAAGTTTACTAACAAAACATCCAAAAGAAGAAAATACGGTAAGTATATTTTCTTTAGCTATTATCTTATGCAGGTCATCACATTTGGATGTAAGCCTTACTAGCTTGCAATTTTTTTGTCTCACCTTTCAATCTTTTGTGAGTTACTGGTGCTGCATCTGCTAATTTTCAATCAGGTGGCTGCTTTTTAATGACAGATTCAATAGTTACGCTTACCAGCTCAGCCACTTCATATCTGACCTCTTTCAGGACCCTGCAATCCCTGTCCTCTTAACTTGGTGATCCAGTGCATTTTATCACAGCCCTTTGTTTCAATAGCTTCTCCCCCCTCATTCCTCTGTGTTTCAGTCCTTGGCAGAACTGCACCTAGTCTAACAGACAAATTACCGAATTGCATTAGGTTCCAGAAATTCAGTCTTGTCAGCCTTCAAAATGAATGACCTACTAAGAAGATAGTGAATAAACCCTTTCCACTGAGAAAAATAGTATAAAAGCCAAGGAAGGAACTGAATACACATAAACACCCTGCTGATTAACACTCAGTCTAGGAGCTGGCTATAGAACCAGCTTAGGCTCGCCAGCTATTCAGCTGCACACAGTCATGATGCACAGCAGAAAATATCACATATAATTGATGTTCCTTACTTCAAAAAAATCCTCACATCCCCTCTTTCACAAAAAACCTGTTCTTTCTAAGTTGGACAAGGCAGGAATGAACTAGACAACTCAGCATGATTCCCCCAGATTAAATGTCAGAAGTGAATAGCTGTTATAACAGAAAGCAAGTAGACATATAGAAAGCATTATCAGGTATTAAAATCAAAGAGATTTATCTTGCAACACCTTTAACTGCTCATGTAAGAGCAATTCAGTGTCACCCACTAGTTGCCCCATCAGACCTTTTAAGATGTGAAGAGGCCAGATGTTAGGAGACCTACTACACTGTTCACCTTAAAAGACTGTGCCATAACTTTGATCTGAATGGCCTACAGCTTCCAGCTATACGTTGTTCAGATGTTATTTCTCGGACCCAAAGGAAGCCCTACTAAACTTTGACATAACTCTCACAGGCTGAAACAGGCTGTGAAACTCCTCCATCAGTTCGGTCTGTGCAAAAACAGCCTGTGAATCCAAAAATGCTTGAGAAGGATCCACCTTCAGGAACCACTCACCAGCATAGATCCTTTGCAAATTCAGCCTACAGCTCACGTAACCGGCAAATCCAGTGATCTTAGACTATTTACACAGTTTGCATGCGTTCATTGAGAAACATGTGTTTTACAGCTGACACACAAACAGCTTGCTGTACAAAGCTGCAACCTTAAACACCAAGAAATGCCACAAGCAGAATCTGTGGGTTTCCACAGGCAATACAGCAGCAGCTTGTTACTACCATGTTACTTACGTCAGCTGCAGCACCTGGTCCTCCATCAAGGAGATAAGAGGACAGATAACAATTCCTGTGTATCCAGTGTAAACAGGAGGAAACTGGTAGCACAAGCTTTTACCATAGCCTTAAAGAAAAAAAAGGTAGAAGTGAAACATCATGCTTTCTACAGAGCTGTAACATGCAGCTATATAAGACAGTTCTAACACCCTGCTGAGTCCCAGAAAAAGAGTGATGTTTGTTCTGCTAGTTGAGAAACAAAGATGCAAGATAAACATGGTCAGCATCCATTCAATACCCCTCTCTACACCAAGGTCAGTGTAGGAGGGGTAGGACAGAGAAACAAGTCCTCAGCTAGGACAGAGAAACAAGTAGCCAGCATAGCTGGCTCAGACTTACAGTCTCAATCAGGGCACCCTGCTCGTGAGCCACATGGACAGTCTCCAAGTTTGAGTCCTACTCTCACAAAAAGGAAAACGTTTTTCACCACTTCTTAGGACGCAAAGGTAACTTACCAGTTGCCATGACAATAAGATTATCTCTTCTGTCTTCTAAAACAGAATTGATCACTTTCCACTGGACCCTAAAAATTAAACAAAGGGGAATTTTTTTTTTTTGCCACCACACATAACATGTAAGTTTTATGAGACTGCATATTCAGTTGAATTTCAGGTTAAAAAATCCTTCAGGCCGCCTTAGAGAGTTCTGTCTTTGCATGCTGCAACCACTTAAATACTCCAACTACTGCAGGGAGTCCCACCAGTGTTACAGTGGGGATCTCTAACAGAACTAAGGCAAGCAACATTTGATGCAGTCATTCACAGATCACAAAACAAACCATGTCTGCCATATGTTAATAACTGATCCACAAACAGTGAGAGCTACAGTTATCTTCAACGCAAGAGATTTTAAAGAGGACTTTGATTTTGCCAAGAAATTTCCATCCTTTTGTGGTCTCACAAGTGTACATAACCGTGGTCAATTAAAAAAACCCTGCCCATTTCTGAAAGTTTACCAAATATTTTGAGTAAAACAGCTTCCCCTCAAGGGTTGCTCTTAGGCTGTGTCTTCCACAGAAAGCATTCCACCACCAGTCATTCAAGAAGATGTCATCCCATTCCCATTGAGTTTAAGAACCGTAACAGCAATGCTCAAGTACATAAGCATATACTGTATTGAGATTACACCACACTAGACAGACAGAAGCCTGTCTGTCCTTAGAGCCACATAACAAAGGATAACCAGACTAAGGAAGTTTATCATACAGAGAATAACATCTGTGCAGTTTGTTGCTTGCTGTTCAAGACACCTGAACTAGACCTGATACAATAAAGCTTTGATCACAGGAGGTATACCATCAGAAGAGTCAAACTCAACCTCTACCGAGAGTGTACAGTATTGTAATTAACACTCCATAAGATTTATTTTGACATCTTGTTGTGGCAAAGGCTGCTTTTCTTTTCCTAGGGATTTTGCATAGGTCCTAGTTTGTTAGTGGTTTTTAAAGTAGGTAGTAATAAAGAAAATCATCCAAGTTGAAATAAGGGAAAGAAAATGAACCCTACAGTGTATGTTAACAGAAAACATACTTACGGTTTAAAAGAAGAGTGTCCAAAATACATCTTCAGACATGTGATGTGGCTTTCACTAGGTACTGGCAGCAATGGATCTTTAGCAGAAGAGAAAAAACCTCATCTTTGATTAAATTTTAAAGAGACAAAGCCCTGTCTTGACAAACAACAGTCTGTTCATGGTTAGTGATGCCCAGGGCCTAGAATTTGAGCAACTCCAGTGAGAAGAGACAAACTAAAGATATTTAAGGGCTAAAATAAAGGACTAAAAAAGCAAACAGGCTCCTCAGAGACTCTGCATGAGGAGGGGAACATACAGCTTGATTAGTGAGATAATAGAGCAATAGGTATTAAAATGAATAGCTGTGTTACTTGAAACTTGTTCAGATGAGGTACTAGAGATGTTTTACTAGGCATGCCTTAAAGACCCTACTGAAGTTACACTAATCAATACCCAACACCACAAGCTGCTAACAAAGTCATGGTCCAAAAGTGACATATCAGGATCCTCTTGTCTTGCTGTGAACACTGAACTAACATACTCAAGATCCGTTGAAATTTATAATTAACATTCAGTAGTAGAAAGCATGACATTTCCACCTAGTTTTTGTCAGTTCGGCAAGCACACATTCCCTGTAACAGCCTGTCTGGCTATCGTTTAGAGATGAACTGAACAAAGAAACAATTAACTCATGGGTCCCCATCCAGCAGTCCATGTTCTGCTTGGAAGAAGCAAGCAGCTCTTCTCCTGGCTAATGCTGTTACTTTCAATGACAAGGTCTACAGTCTAACTTGCACAACCAGGGAAGGAAGCTTTCACAGTGACCATTCAAACAAGCCAAGGTGTATTTCACATCGCGTTTCAGCCTCTTTTCCCGATTTGATTTGTCTCCACAGGGCCAACCCCAAAGCATTAGGCCAAGATCACCCCCAAGCCAAAAATTCCTAAGAATCCTGCCACGAAGCAGTAGTAATAGGGCAGCAGAACAAAAGCATGTAATGAAGGTACCATCTTCCCCTCTGCTGTGTTATAAATAGGCCCCCTCAGTTCTGCATGACCTCCACATCCCCGGATCAGTTTTACTCCCATTAAGCATACATAACATCTACTTACAGCAGGAGTCAACTATGTTTTGCCAGGGGCACCTTTAAGTTTTTCATCCTGACACACAGACAAGTACTCCTTCCGAAACCTAGACAAGCTTTAACTTTCTACTTAAGAAACCAAGCACCAAGAAATATCACTGTTCTTCCACATCTGCTTCTATAGACAGTGCATTTTTTTTTTATTTAATCATATGCTAAAATATAAAACATACCCAAACATTCCTCATCTTCTTCCTCAATGTCTTCATCTTCATCACTATCTGGTGCAATGTTCAATTCTGTGTCAGGAGTTTTCCTGGCTTTATCGGACTCTCGTTCAGTTAGAACTCCTTTGGAATCGTCTACGTCTTCTAAAGACTAAGAAAAATCAGGAGAAAAAGTTATTTTGGAGCATGAAAGGGTAGATACAATGCATGTCTGAGGTAATGATACAGGGACACATGAGTTTTAATCTACTTATGTCATAACTTAGATCTATTGGCACACAGCACAGAGAAGAGCACAGTGGTCGAATGACTTTATCAGTGGCATTCAAATTCCAAGAGTCAGTTCCTGGGTACCATTACAACAGCTTTCGTTTCTTCTTTGCAAAAAGGTCTCTGCAATTTTGAAGACATTGTAATCTGTTATTTTATGAAACCAATCGTTGGTTGGTTTGTTTTTTGTGGGGGGGTTTTTTGTTTGGTTTTTTTTTTGGACTTTCAACTAGATGCAGGTACAAGTTTCACTAAGAAGTCACTTAGGATGCTAGTCACAAAAATCAGAAACAGAAAGGATATGATCCCAATGTCATGTTACACTCATTGTTTCCAAAACATGGTACTGGGAGGAACACTAACTAAACTCCTCTACTCAAGTTAGCTTTTTTGACCAAAACTGCATTTATAGGAGATTGACATGCAGTACTGAGAACCTGGTCCTTCCCTAGAAGAAAATTGAACTTTTCCCCCCCTAAACCTTCGAGTCTTGCTTCCTACTCAGCTGTAAGCAACACAATCTTCACATGTGTACAAGCACACAAACCCATGTAACTGCTCTGGTGGAAGTGTTCAGTCACTTGACTCGAAATACATACAGCACTCTGGAGAATCATGAAAAAAGCCAGGGTAAAGAAAAATAAGACTCAACATCTAAATCTTCTTCTCAAGAAACAAGTTATACCAGTAAAAACACTTTACAAGAAGCCTGCAAAACATGGATACAAAGCAATTTGAGCTATAGCCCCAGTTAGGAGCACCTGCAGCGCATAAACCACCCTGACAGCTCAACCCCTTGGACAAGGGTTTGAATGCATGACACTTGGAGCACAGCAGTTTATGAACTATAATCTGCATAAATGCAGTAAGTGGCTTGATCAAGTCCAAGCTGGTATAGTAAAGATGTGGTAAGATGCAAACAATATTGAAGTCTAACACTAGTAAGTTGAATTCTTTAGATATCCACATATTCACCTGTCTTCTGTCCATATTCCCTCCCCTCAACTACACTCCACTGTCACCCAAGAGCATCATTGTTATAAAAAAAATTAAAACACAAAACCAAGGCACTCACTTTAAGCATCTCCATCTCCAGTTCTTCATCACTTTCAATGACACAGGAAATATTTTGGTCCTTGTCTGTGGAGCATGCCTCCTAAGAAAAAAATTATTTTCTTCCTATCAGCAAAGTTATTTCTATTTTACCCACAACCTTTCAACCTTCTGTATCTACTATAAACCACTTCTCTGTACGCTTTTACTTCTCACCAAAAGTAACCAAGCTCAACATTCAGCTCCGAAGCCTGCCCATTAAAAAATTGAAAAAATATTTGAACATAACAAGACCCTGTAATAAGAGACAAAACCAGTAGTATCGCCAGATGTGTGAAGTGCCTGGAACATAAGGAAGTTATAATTGATTTAAAAATCATCAATCCACATTTAGCAGTCACTAGGACTGCTATTTACAGATACCTTAGAAAAATATCTGCTTTTTATTCATGACCAAGTTGGAGATGCTCAAGCACAGAATTTGTCCCCATACTGCAAGAAGTTCTTTGAAAACATAAGCAACTGAAAGAGGAAAACTAATCAGACTATCTAGAGCTTCTGTATTCAGTACTAATCCTTCCAACCACATACCTGAAGAGCAGCTCAGTGGTTGACCATCTCCACAAATATTTTCCAGACTAGACCCTTCTTCCAGCCCACCGTACTATCCTCTCAGGAACAGGACTTTTTAAAATCTTGAGGGAAATTAAGGATGACATCACTTACTCTGCTGAGTGTCTATGATTAACAAGGGCTTTTCTCATTACCTCAGGTGTCACTTCATTGACCAATTCTTTTGCAGCCTGACATTCCAAGATTTGAAGTTCTTGCTCAGTAATGTCCAGGGACATGAAGTCATCTGTGTCCACTTTGTCCTTAGAGCTAGCTGCTGCGGGCCCATCTTCCACAACAGCGCTACCTCTCTCCGCCTCTTCATTAAGATCTCCCTCCCAGAGGCCAGCTAGCGTAGCATCAGAGCAGATGTTGAAGTCACCTTCAGGTTGTTTAGCAAATTCAGGCATTGCAACTTTTTGTGCTCCAACATTTGCTGACTCTGCTTCAAGTTTTGTTGGAGTTGCACCACAGCTCCTCTCCAGTATAGAAGGGGAACCTGAACCAAGCAGTGTGCTTCTTAAGGCAGTTATACTCTCTGAAATGTCAGCTAGTATTTCTGCAGCCCTAGAAGGTAAAACAAGAAAGTTAAACCAAAATGACAAAGGTAGTTACTACATACATCTTAGCCACAAGCTGAACTGTGGATTCTAAAGTAGTCTTGTTTCTCCAAAACTTCACATATAAAGACTCAACATGCATTTGCAAATAGTATTCCACTTCAGTGTAAAGGAAGTTCATTTTCTTCTCAAAGAAAACCTACAAAGACTCTCCAAAAACACTGTTTGTGGTACTGCCCCCAAGCTTGTATCAAGTCTCCAGACTTCTAGTAGTTAGTCATGCAAGAGTCCTGAGTATTTAGCGAAGAAAATCTTGCTGTGCATTTCAGCAAGAAGAAACAGATTCAGTAAAGTTTAGTGCCAAACCCATTGCAATCAGACCAGTGAAAACCTGCATTCCTATGTATAAAGACAGTATTTTCCCATTGAGTGTACTGTGCTTTCTTTTCTTGGAAAAGGACACATAGATAAGAGAGGCAGCTGTTAACACACGTTTTGTTGTGTGGGACCACAGGGATCAAGAACAAAACACTGATCTCACAGGTAGAGACAGGCTGGCAGAAAAAAATAATAATCTAACCTCTGCAGATTTTCAAGTTGGCCAGAAGAGTCAGGGATGTGAGAAGCCAGGTCCGTTATCTCTTCAGCTAGTGAAGTCAAGCGCTTCTTCACATCCTCTGACCACACGTCATCTATGAGAAGCGCCAGAGTTATTTCACAATAATTGAGGTCTAACATCTATATGCAAATAAGTTCAAGTAACTGCATTTCATAGCAGCATATCATAGAAGGGTTCTTTATGCATAAAGCAGGAAAAAAGTAAATAAGCAGAATAAGCAGAAACTGCCAAGACTTTCCCTGTGTAAACAAGTGTATTTTCACTCTGTTGCATATTGTTCAGAATTTCTCTATCACAGAATGGTTTGAGTTGGAAGGGACCTTAAAGCTCATCCAGTTCCAACCCCACTGCCACAGGCAGGGACACCTCCCACCAGACCAGGTTGCTCAAAGCCCCATCCAACCTGGCC